CTCTCTCTCTCCCTCTCTCTCCCCCCCTCTCTCTCTCTCTCTCTCTCTCTCTCTCTCTCTCTCTCTCTCTCTCTCTCTCTCTCTCTTGTCGCCCTTGTGCTCGTGTGTAAGCACAACGGCCAGTACGAGCTAGTATCTTGGAGTCATCTCTTTGCATGCGTGTTCAGATGCCATGCAGACACTTTGGTACACACTCCTTCGTCTGTCTGTCTGTCTGTCTGTCTGTCTGTCTGTCTGTCCTTCCGCGTCTGTAGCCATGTTTCTGCCTGTGTCTCGCTGTCTTTGCGGTTCGTCGCTTGTCTGTGTGTCTGTGTGTGTGTGTTTGTCAGTTAGTCTGTCTGTCCGTATGTCTATTTACTGTCTGTTTGTGTGCATCTCTCTCCCTGAGTCCTTTCTGTTTGTTTTCCATACGCGATGCGGTTCACCCATGTGTAATGCACTATCGGTTCTCGAGGCATTTTCTGTCCCTTGGAGCCAGATGCTCACACCGGACGATACAAGTCCCCAGTCTCCAAGTTGGGGATGACATGGGCTGGGTCCGCAAAGTTTGCAGGATGCAGGGCTTCTGATTCCCATCACTTCCTGCCTCGGCCGAGGTATGTGAATGCACTCACTGGTGACACCCTGTCCTTCGAGAGGAACGGCAAGTTCTTTGGCCAAGTAAGATCGATGCCGGCAGGGCAGCAAAGACGGCAATTCTGTTCGTGAGGTGGTGTGTGGGCCCGGACTGCTCGTCGCCGGTGGGCGGCGCCGACCCCGTAGGTGTTTTGATGACGATGCTGGAGGCCCCCGCCTGGGTACACGACGTGTTTCTAGTTTCTGTGTGAGCTCTGACATTCCCAGGTTCTGAATGTCACAAACTTCGACGGGCACTTCGAGGCCAAGGGTGTCCCCTCGATGGATGAAGGGGGATGCTCGGCAATTTTGGTGCTGCGTGTGCAGTTGATCGTCGAAGACACCAAGGAATGGACGACTTGGCCAAGAAGCTCAAGGTGCCTTGGAACATCTTCGCTGGCAAAGCGTATAGCCTTGAAGCAGGAGTCGTGCTCAGGCGATTAAGCCTCCCAAGAGGCCAGCGCAGCCGGCCAAGCCCAAACTACAGGCCATGGGGCAGGGAGCGGGAGAGGTTCAGGATGTTCAGGCTCAGGGCTGCATTTTTTTGAGGACTTCAAGGCAGAGATGCCCAAGTACGCAGACGAGTGCCTCGACTACGGGGAGTTGTGGAACAAGCTCACCGAAACGCACATAAACGCGGACAAGGCGCCTCGGCAGAAGACTACAAAAAAGGTTGTGCAGACTCGTCCCGACTGAGGAGGAGGTCGTGGAAGAGTCCAAGCTGGAGCCCGATGTAGGCACCGTTGACGCCGAGCTGCCAGACGTCCACCCCTGCGAGATTGTACAGACCACTGGCTTTGGAATATTTGGCAGGCCCACATCACACTTGTGCATTTCCATGCCGGCGTGTCGTTTGCCAGTCAGGCTAGGGGAAGGCGACGGCAAGAATTCACCTCCCAATCTTCTCTACAAGGCGCGGTGCCCAGGTCAGGTGACTCGCATACCATGCTACCAGTGTCTCTTATGTTGCAAGGATTGGATCCGGTGTATGCAAGGGGACATCAATCGAGATATGCTCTCTGGCTACATGGAGTTCGGCAACAGCCTATACCACAGCATCGCCAGTCAGCTGTATTATCATGTGCCATCAGTGACTGAGCGCTGCGGTAACGGGTGCGTCACTAAGCTCTGCAGACCAGGCCAATGTTGTTCACTCTGCAGTCAAGTGTCTTGGCAGCGGTCGTAGCCTGAAGATCTTGAAGGCAATGTCCATGAGTCAGGGCTAAGCTAAGCAATCGAAAGATCATGGCTCGCCTCAGCGCCACAGGCTGGTCTGCGCCGCCCTTCCTAGCACAGTCATTGCTCCACTGGGCGTTGGTGTCGAGGCAGACATTCTCTTGTCGCCCTGCTTTCATTATCTGTCTGACCTGTTTTGCCCTGCCCCGCCCTGCCCTGCACTGCTCTGCCCTCCCCGTCTGTGGTTCTATCTAGCTGGCTGGCTGCCTGGCTGGCTGGCTTCCTGCCAGGTTGGCTGGCTGGCTGTCTAGCTGTCTGGCTGTCTGTCTGTCAGTCTGTCTGTCTGTCTGTCTGTCTGTCTGTCTCTTTCTGTGGCTAGCTGCTTGAGTCTTGAATGTGGTGACTGTGGGGGAACTGATTGATTTTGGTTGCTCGGGTTAGTGCACATTGTATTGTTGAGTTTTGCACCCTCGCTCGCTGTTCCCTCACTCTCTGAAAGCCCGAGTGCATAAAGCTTGACGTGTTGATGTTTACAGCGGCGCCTGTCTCGCCAGCCTCAGCCGCCCAAGATCTGTTCCGAAGTTACGGACTTGGTGCGATGCTCGGCGGCAGCGACACCCTTGGAAGTATTATGGACTCTTTCATTCTCCATACATCATCATATGTTATACATGTATGTATGTTATAATATTTGCACACCTCGATGCCGCTGTGGCCAGACTTCATAGCACCTGCAGGAACAATAGTGGATCTTCCCTTTGACATCTCCAAGCAAGCAGTGGATCTCCAAGTTGAAATAGAAGGATACAAGGCCTGCAATCCCTACGAGGTGGGCGGCCCGCTCCATTGACGAGTGCACAAATGGGCTAGGCAGCTAAGCAAGACTGACCAGGCTGGCTTCTCACGGCTTTTCTGTGACATCCACTGCGTGCGGGATGCTGTCATACGTGGCGACCGCACCATTCTGCGAAACTTGGAAGAGGTGCACCGGGCAGGGAGCGAGCAAGAGGGCCGAGCGAGCGTGCACGGCGGATCTCTGCATGATTGAGGCTACCAAGATCTCGAATGACAACATGAGGAAGATGGTGGAGTGGTCCACGGAAGCAACCAGGACAGAAACAGAATACCTGGACAAGAAGATCGACCACTCCCTCAAGATCAACACTATTTACTTGCACCACATTGCCAAGAACACACAGCCCAAAGAAGAGGAGCAGAAGCCAAAGCGTCAAACCTGTAAACTGCGCGGCAGTGTTTCTGCATCGAAGGAGCTTTTGCAGAATGCTGTGACTGCCACGGGATCCATGCTCGCCGAGCTCAAGGGCTTTGCCGAGATCTCCTCTTTGGGCGTGTCGCGTGTTGCTGCCGGGGATGCTCTGACAAGGCGAGTCACTGAGTCCGTCCACCTTTGGACCCGCAGATCCGCTCAGGCTGAAAAAACCATTCAGCCATTCTCAGGTTTCTTTCCGCCGCGGAGCCTTTGGTCGAGGGCAACGCCACACGTACCGGCCAGGCAGCTCACTTCTTGAATCCTGCTGCTCTCTTGACGCGGATGGGGCTTGTGGCTTGTGTCCGCAAGGTGCAGAAGTTCCAGAGCTTGATGTCCGACCTGTACCAGACGATGCGGGCATCCACGGGCGGGCTGACAAAGGCGCAGGCTGTAGGACGCTTGGATGCTTAACGCTGCTCAACACACTTTAGGGAAAGAAGTCAGGAACCAACGAGGTTCTTGGCACGTATTGGCTCGCTCACAGAGAGGATTGCCCCTGTTTAGGGGCTTGTTTGGGATCCTGTTGCTGCTGAAGTCCGCGGCTCCAGCTTTTGAAGCGCGCAGTCTAAGGACGGCAGGTCGCCCGCGAGGCTCAGCAGCTGCAGGCCAGGTGTCCTGTGCATTCGGAAATGCAATCGGATTCGCAAGAAGTCAAGCGGCCAGACAAGCCATTCGGCCCAGCTGTGAAAGGGCCCGAAGCTAGACAGCTAGACCTGTAAGTAATGCAGAGTACAAAGCACTCAGTATGCTTCGTGACACAGTCCTTGAAGGAGCGGACGCGCCGGCAAGCGCAGGCAGGGGCGCAAGCTGAGTTGGGTCGGCAAGAGCATTGCCATGTGGCGAATTGCGGCAGTTGCCAGGTCTTGGGCATTTATCGGGCGCACAGCCGCGATGCACACAAGGACATCCCTGATCTGCCCTCGGGTCCGAGCCCCCAACCGAACAGAGAGCCTTTCAGAGGCTGCAAAGTCCTGGGCTCGATTGGACGCGGAGCGGACGCTCGTGACGTTGGACAAGTTGTGGTGGCGCATCAGAGACAGGCTGGACCGCTACATTGACATCGCCGGGGCCGAAACTTGGTTGCAGGCGACATGCCGACGCCAGAAAGATGTGGGTTTATCATTGAGTCTCTGAGCTTCCGGACACCCTTTTTTCATCGAGCAGGGCTTGAAAACATAGTATGGGTTGGTTGGGATCTAGGAATCTAGGGATCAGTCTTGTCGCGCGGCAGAGCAGATCGTCTCAGTTAGAGTATGGCCTTTTGTGGGGTCCGATTCCTGAGCGGGATGATGAAGATTGAAGGAAGGCAGCTGGTTCTGCTTAAAGCGGCGCTGGTGGGCAAGGCTGGGCTGGGCTACGGGGGAGTCGGAGGTCAGCGGCATGCGATGACTACCGCCTTTGCTATGCGCTCAGCAACCAGCTCAGCAGATGCAAGCTCAGGAGATCACCCAGCTTGAACGTTCCCTCGCCACGCTGGCCGAGTACGAGAATTGCAAAGCAGGTGCAGAATCTGGCTGCAGTAGTCGACTTGTTATGCCGCGACGTCATTGTCCTGCATTGTTCAGGCACTTTGAACTTGCTGCAGTCATACTCCTCCGGCATGAAGTCGATGCGCCGGAGCCGCGCTCAGCTTCGAGCTGTTTGGCGGGAGACATCCAACCTGATGGGCGAGCTTGCAGCGATCATCAGCCGGGCTCTTAGCATCTCATGTTAGCTGCCTCTTGTGGCTGCATCTTGCTGCCAGAACCCTGAGTCGTGTGTGTTGGGGGAGCTTCTGGTGTCCAGGTGATGGCGATGTCTTCGGGAGCCTCATGGCTGCTGAGGGCTGCAAGTCTGCCTTGGCGGCGTGACGTAGCTGAACAGAGACATCGTTTTTTTTTGAGAAGTGAGGAAAGGTATTGTCGAAATGTGGTGTCTGCAATGATGTGCTAGGCAGACGCTGGATCAGATTCGCATCTCGATCTGCACCATGAGTTATCGCGAAGCCTGTGGCACGCAAGAACTGGGACTTCTGAAGGACAAGTCAAGATCAGCATGCCGGAACCGCTCAATTCTTGACAGTCGGTCGCGAAAATGAGGCTTCGTGCTGCAAGACTCCGGCTTCTTGATCCACCGCTTTGAGGCAAGAAGGTTGTGGGAAATTGCAAATTCCTGCTTCGTGCGCTTCTTGCGCTGCTTCAGGCGGCTAACCTACCGCAGCCAGATGTCTCCGTGTCTTGCCTGCAAGCACAGGAGACTTGCTGCTATGGGCCTTCCATCTTGTCAAACTTCAGCTGCGCGGAGGTATTGCAGGCGGCAGTGAAGCAGATCCACACAGCTTACGACGCGGCATGGTCATCTTGCCATGCAGACGGTCCTCGCAACACATGAGGCTTGGCGCGTGAGGTGAGGACGGCACTCGTTGCAAAGTGTAAGGGCCCATAAATCCGCCCATACAACCTGTGCGCTCCTGGAGTACCTCAGCGATATCCGTATCACAGAAAAGAAGAGCGGGGCCACAAAGATGAAAGTGTGCGCTGTTCGCCTTCGCATCTTTCAAAGAGGCGGCTAGGTCCGGTGTCGTCGAGAGGGTTAGCAGTGACGCAGGCTTTCGGTTTCGGCCTCTTGTCTGCCTATAAGCTTCTCGATGTTAGACACGTGTACTTCTCATGTCATGCGTGTCGTATGAAGGATAATAAGGATGCTAAGACGGGTCAAGCGTGTCGTTTAGTGAAGGGTGCGTTCAGCAGCAGCCTACATCAAGCGCACTCATGCTGTGTAAGCCATCTTGAACCTGACATATTATTTTTACAAAACCACAGTAGCGGCGTTTTAAAGATAGATGACCAAGACCTATGCCGCTGACTGAACAATCTACAGTGTCTGGCGACGAGGCCTGGGTTGCAGGTGCTTGGAGACCCTCGAGCATGTCCGCGCCATTCCTGGCCACTGACAGCCTGGATCGTAGTGATGGTACAACTTGCAGCAACAATTTGCCGATCCTTGGAAAGCTTCAAGGTTACATAGTAGCTCTGAGGAGCTGAACTATCTACAGGTCCTGCGCAGTAAGTACCTGTAGCCGTTTAGCGCATGCAGAAGCACAATGCATGAAGTTGACAGCGTAGCTGTGATGGCGTGAATGTGCCATCTTCATGGACGCAGCAGGGGCTGCAGCTGCTGCTGCTTTGCTGCGGGCCCCACAAGGTGCATGGAAGCTGTTGCGAAGTTGTGCCTCCTCGGCCCATGTTTTGAGATCCAGAGTGTTTAGTGGTTTAGTCGGTTTAGTGATAGCTGCGGACTCGCTTTGGACGCCAGATGTTAGGTGCTGATGCTCCGCGATCAGATTCCGAGGGAACTGAGCCTCCCAGTGATGAGGAGGAGGGCTTGTTCGGGTGCAGGCGCACGCGGTTGCAGAAGCTCGCTTGCAGGCACCCGCCCATCAGTCTGCGGTGGCCGTGGGGTTGCTTGGACTGCCGTCGAGATGCTTGCTGTTCTGGCGTTGGTCACTGCCGTGGTGGTTACAGCGTAAGTTTGAGCGGATGGATCCGAGGCTGGTCAAAGTGCAAAACTTCCCGGCATCGTGGCTTGAGGTTGCCGCCGTTGCAGAACGGTCACTTCAAGTGAAGGATGAGTTTGTCGGCAGCGATGGTCAGGAAGACAGCGGCTTGCTTCTCCAAGAGAGGGTATCGCGACTGTGGCCCGCTCGGTGGGGAGTCGCTATCTTGTCTGGCCTCACCACCATATGCCGAGGCTCGGACGCTTTGGAACATTGGCTCTGGAGCCGGCAGACATCTTAACCTCACCTGGTTGTGCCTACATGATTGTCGTGCATGTCTAAGAGTCATGACTCAGGTCCTTGCGAAGAAGGAAGGACTTCCAAATGGATCGCTGAGTAGTTCCTCAGGATATGTGTTTCTCGAAGGATATAATGAAGAGGTCTGTTTCCAACACAGTTGCATCACGCATGACACTCACTGTATCAGCACTTCTCAGAGGACCAGTGCTTTACGCGGCGTTCGTGGAAAAATCATCTGCCATCAAGGACATGCCCAGCAATGCTTCGTCCTTTCCGGGTGCAAGCCTTTTTTTGCTTCACGAGGCGGTGTCCAAGCTTGACGGCATGGACTTGCGAAGCAATGCCGAGAAACGGGCAGCAGCAGGCTTCATGCAGCAAGATCTTGGTGTTGTAGCCGGAAGCCACGGAGAAGTGACCGTTAGGAGCTTGATGTCGTTTTTTGCGGCTCAGGACATGCTTTTTGAAATAGCTCCGGAGCTTCAATGAGAACTCGCAGCCGGCCACTGACAGTGCTAGGTATAGGTCCATAGGTGGGCACTTTGCAACAACACACCGAAGCAGGGCTGGCCGCACCTTTGCCTAGCATACCTTATCGTGACATCCTAACTACACAGTCACAGAGGCACCTTCAAGTAGTGCCTTTGCGCCTCGAGCTATTCCGGTGATCCCGCTCAGCTCGAATGGGCTGCGGTTCGTCAGGATGCCGCAGGAGTGGCAGAGACCTAAGCACCACAGGAGCTATGACTTGCACTCGAAACACCGCCTCACCGAAAGTTACGTCAAGAGAGGTGTGTACGACCCGAGTGAGCATCTGCTGGGAGTCCAACCACTACCTCACACTCAAAGGACGGGGCAAGCAGGAGACAACTCTTGCTCTTGCCTCGGACACTGCCTTGCCTTTGGCACTGTCAGGCGAGGCTCCAAGCCGACATTACTCGGCCGGAAGTCAGAGGCGCCAAAGGTCTCAGATGAGGGAGCTGCAGATGCCGAAGATGCCAAAGAGGCCATACAGCGTGTGCCTTCTTCTGGTTGCTGTAATCGGCATCTGGCTTCTGAGCATGAGGAAGTCATGACCGAGTCGACTTCCAGCACCACGAGAAGGCATGGGCCTACCTGCTACAGATGGCATGCGACATGTGACCATGCGAATTGAAGGAATGTCGCCGCTGCTACTCCGAAGAGGGCCTCCCGGCCAGGCGAGCCGGGCGGTTATTGCCTTGAGGAGAGGGTTCAGGGAGCAAGCTTGAGGCAAGCCTCGGGGTGCCGCTGCAGCAGTGCACTCAGCTGAAGCTGAAGGTTTCACAGTGCGACTTTTTTTTCTCTCTGTGCCATCCCGGCAGGCTCTCTTGGCGCAAGCAAGCCCCCGCGGGCCAAGGGAAGTCTCACCGGCAGGGCTCCCAACCAGTCCTTGCACTTGCAGTGGCTAGCAGGCAGCTCCGTCAGTGATGAGTTCAGGCCACGGGATCAACGGCACTGCCAGCTCCACCATCCCATTCAGAGGATTCTGTTCCGCTGGGATCTGCCCAGAGTGTGGCGCGGCAAGATCTGTCGAGAATGGAACTTCTGATGCCGGTGCTGCTAGTCCATTTGGAACTCAGGTCGACAGCAGCTCTGATGCCCAGGTTCCTACCATAGTCGGCATTTGCGGGCAAGCAGCGAACCCAAGCCATGTGTGCACAAGGTCCATCGAAGTCCACAACCAACTCAATCTAGAGCATTGTGCTGCGGTGATGGATGTTTGGGCGGTTTCAGGGACTTGACGCATGGCTGCAGCAAGGCCAAGCATGTTTTGGAAGTCTGTGTCGACTTCTCTGCTTGTCTGTAGCCGGTCGCCCAGGCTTCGCTCCTCCGCGGACAAGAAACCCAACGCAGCAGGGGTGTGCCGGCTGCAGAGTGCAGGACGGTCAGCTCGGAGTACCCATCCGACAAAGGCCGAATCGGCTCCATTGCAGCTGCCAGTTGGCCGGTCCTTTCAGGACTTGGCAAATCAGAAGTCCATGCTCAATGCATGTCGATGCACCCCGGTTCTTGCAGGAGCAGCGCGAGTCCGAACGACGAGTACGGCTTGCGGAGCTCAACATGCGCTTTGCTGCAGCACAGGAAGCTGCCAAGGCCGCAGCTTTGCATCGAACCAGAAGTTTGCAGAAGCGAGCTGTCGCCAGGGACTGTTGCTCTCAAGCGATGAGAAGTTGCAGCTATATGCCTACCAAAAGCAGGCTGCCAACACCTGCGATTTGTAGGCACTCTGAGCTTTCCTGCCTGTGCCTCTGAAGGCAATCGAAGGTCCCGTTTTTGGAAACCCTCCCAGTGCCTTGAACGCGACTGCCCGCTCAAAGTGGGATGCATGGGCAAAATTGACGCCTGGCAAGCCTCCCAAAATCTGCATAGGGCAGTGTCCAGACAGAATGATGTGTGTCAAATGGTGTCAACCTTCATCGCAATGCGTTATGCAGTCCAAGGAAGTGCATGGACAAGGATGTTGCCCTGACCTTGTGCACAGATCTTGAATCAGCAGCAAAATGTATACTGAATACTGAATTTTTGAGGCCAAGCAGGGTTACTGCGCCCTTGTCGACAAGTTCGCGCCTGGCTGGAGGAGTCCGGTGGGACGAGTGCTCACCGAAGTGGTTTTGTCTACTTCGCATCTGTGACAGGTCAAGAGCAGGAGTTGGAGTCTGAGCCACGAGCCGTGGATCGTGATTTCTGAGCCCTCTTGGGAAGGTGCGCAGTAACACGTGAACTGATGTGATAATTCTATTGGAACCAACGACGTCTTGCCGCACCTGAGCCTGTCGGCTGACTTGCCAGTTGTTGCCAATGATGCCCTAAGATGGCCGTTCCCTCTAAGAATGGCAGATGGCCAGGTAGAGGAAGCGCCGGCATGATCGTGTAACTCATTTCGCAATCAGAACGTCCAGCCGCTAGCCCCTAGATTATCGCACTGAGGGTACTAAAGAAATTAACCAACATGTCTTGCCACACCTGTGCAATCTGCAGTGGAGCGGGCATAGTACTTGGGATGGGAACCTGTTTGCCGCCAAAGCGTGTGCGAGCGCTGTTGCTTGGCCGTATGTACAGCTCGAGAATGCTCAGGATGGTCGACAGAACCGAACCATCGAATCTTATTGGGTTCCCAATGCACCCCAGATGGAGCTGGCCGGAGAACCCGACTCGTCCCACAAACGTGGACACATTGAAGATCGCGGGACCAGCGGTCACAGCGGCGTTGCTTTGGGAGCGCTGCATGAACAAAAAGAGGAAGCATCCCAGTTCCGTGGACCGTGCTTGGAGTGCCGTCCGCGTGCGCAGCGGCAGCCAGGCCGCGAGGCGAATCCCTGGGAGCGCTTCTCCGCAAAGCTGGAGGCCGGTCTGCTGCGCTGCTGTGCACGGTGCCCTCGCTCCCGTGCTCGATCACGCTCGCTCCTTCGCATGGAGCGCCATCCAGGATCCCAAAATCGCAAGGGCGCTCGCCAAGATGCTCGCCAGGAGTGAGAAGCATGTCGCATGTCAGACTTCGACGGAAGTGAATCTTGAGGACCAGAACTGCAGGGTCGGCAGGAAGGGTCGGCGACTCGGGTGCGGAGCACTACCCTCGTCCTGTTGAGAGCGGCTTTTGTCTTGGACTCCTCGGTTCTCTTGGCCCTGATTTCCCCAACCAGCCGGCTCACACTTCACACGGGGCAGCCGACCCTAGTTTTTGGCGCATTGGCGTCGCTGTCCGAGTCGGGGTCCATGATTCGAGGGGGCCCTGAAGAGCTCAGAATGCGAATATTGCGACGGGAGTTTCTGTTGAACACGGCGGGTCAGAAAATTCTGGCCTGTGTATGTCTGCACTATGCCGGTACCGACTGCAAGTCAGGACGGGAGCGCCGCGGCGATCCAAGATGACCGAGAAGCTGATGGCAGCGAGACGGAGCCTCCGACAGAGCGGGTGGCCCCAGTATCGGCATTGCTGTGAGGCACTCAGTGTTCTGACCTATGCTTTGAGATGTCTGAGGCCAGATGACGACGACAACACCCAAGAGGTCGCTCTGCCGACAGACCTCCGGAGCTGTGTTCAGAGTGCGACAGGTCAGCGCCAAGGTGCTGCGAGGGCCTCTTTGGGGACTTGATGTAAGGGCCGTGTCCGATTTCGTTCCGAGGCTTGGCAATTTTCCTGTCTCCTGGCTGGCTTTGGAGGTTGGAGTCCTCCATGTGGAGCCACAAGCGGAGATTTTTTTTGAGGGCTCTTGACAGGCACGGCCTCAGCTTGATGCTCGGATCACCGCTCTCTTGACCAAGCCAAGCTGGCATGTTAGTGATTTTTTTGGTGGACATGTCTGCGGTGTCTGGTCAGAACTGCTTTCATGGGATCCTGATTGTCAGAACTCCAACTTCCCGAATGTCAGGTTTGGTGCCCTTTCCACACTTCCTGAAGCAGTCGAGCGTCTCGACCTCACGGCTCAGAGTATCTCAGAGTTCTGCCTGTGCGCAGCATGCAATTTCCCAAGGCGGCGGAGCCATGATCGCCCTTGCCGCCTTCCAGGACTGAGCTCGTCTGAGCTCCGATGAGCCTTTCCGCCTTTTAAGCATTTGCCGCCCTTCCGCAAAGGAGGCGGGCGCGGCCTTGAAAGCGGTGAAAGCGCTGGACGGCTTCGACTGGAGGAGTCGCCGGGCCCCAGAGACAAGGGCACAAGGGGGTTTCTGCACCCGAACGGCCCTGTCTCAAGGTTCCGAAGTGGCACAGAGACCCCCAGAAGCCAGAAGCTCATAGAAGCTCGCCGAGTCGCGGACACTTTGGTCTTCCGGTGGCTCATCATGCACGAGGTGCACGAATGCTTCAGCGCGAAGATCGTGCATGACGAAGAGGCCGCTGGAAGCTCGCAGAAGTCTTGCAAAAGCCTGTCTGGCACGGAGTCCAAGGATCCTCTCAGGCTCCCATCGCCTGTTGGCGGATCCTCGGCTCCGGAGGCTTCGGGCTCCGTCCAGGCTCCCGAAGATCCCAAAGAGCCAGAAGCAGGCCCCTAATGCCGCGTATGCCGCGTCCACGTACCCGCTTTTTCGGAGAGTGCTCGGATGTGCTCGGGCAGGATCACCCTCGCCGCCAGCGAAGCCTCGAAGCGCCTGATCTGAGGTTTTTTCACATCAAGAAAAGAACGCGTTTAGATGATCTCAGATGATCTCAGGAACTGCACGCGTCAAGCTGCAGCAGACAGGTCGGAGACTGCGCCGCTGGCCCAGTCCCATTGGTCACGCTCGGTGTGCTCGCGTTCTAAGCGCTCTTTCGCGGCTTGGAGGCTGGGAGAAGTCCAGCAGCGAGGCCGAGGCCGAAGACCAGCCGCTGGCCGGGCTCCCTGCATGGCTCCCTGCATGGCACGGGGCTCACGCTGCCGCAAGTGCCACGCACTTCGTGACGAGGCCCAGCATCCTACGGGGGCTGCAGTCGCCGCCGTCGAGGAGGCACTCGAGCATGCCGGAAGCATAGCAGGAATTTAGGATTCACGTGAAAGGTTGCGCCAGAAATGCGCGAAGTGAATCTCTCTGACACGCACTTGGTGGTGACTGGCCTGTGGGGAGCTTGGTGGAACTACCATGCTAAGGGACACGTCGATCTCGTGGCGTTTCAGGCCTTGGGACTGGAGTGCCCTGCAGCTGCAAATGCTCTTCACCCCCTTCGGAGGAGTGCAGGAAGGGACCGCAGAGAGGGTCTTAGCATGTGGAGTGGCCTTTGTTGGGCTTCAGAAGGCAATGCAGCTTGGCGGCGGCCAGGCACCCGGAAAATGGGGGCGTGGGCGAGAGCCGTGCGGACGGCGGCCCGAGGCCTGGCCCTGGTTCGTCTCGAGGAGCTGGCACAGCACGCGGCGGCGGCCGTGCGGAGCCATGCGGAGCCATGAGAAGAGCCCATCGTGCGGCACCTTTTCTGCACAGAAATTAAGGCGCACTTTCAGCAGCCCCAACCAGACTTGCCAGAACTGCGCTGCCAGCCGCTCCGGCTGGGGATTGTAGCCTCAGAGCTTTTGCACTTTGAGCGAACGCTTCCTGCCAGGCACGTCTTGGGCCCCCGGGAGAAGGCTCGCTGTGCGGATTGCCCCAAATACTGGCAGCTCGTCTTCCCTCTTGCGTGAGGAACTCTTAGCAAAGGCTGCCGAGGTTTGCGACTTGCTTAATCTCTTCAAGTCGGATAAGTGCTTCATGTTGCCGCAAGAGGCAGAGCGGCTGAGGAAGGAAGCAGAAGAGGAGGCTGCTCGCCAGCGCAAGGTGGGGAGCAGCGCAGTTGTGTCTGTGAGTTCCGGAGAAAAAGTACAGGCGGCTGCTGCAGAAGCTGAGAGGTTGCGCCAGGCAGGAGTTAGAGGAGTTAGGCCTACAGCTCTGAAGTGCGGTGAAAGATTTTTGTTATCGGCATAGGCGGCCCTGTTTGCAAGCCGGCGTGTAATTTGGGAAGCGGCAAATGCGGACTTCGCAGCCGCTGTGTTGGCAGAGGCGCAGCAGCCCGCTAAAATGCTCGAGTAGATCTCATCATCTTCGAGCTGGTTCCTGCCTGCGTGCCGGCCTGAAATCTCTCCATCTTTAGGCGCAGCCAGCAGATGCAGAGCGCTGCAAGCGGCTCCAGGCAGGCCAATCGCGGACCATTTTCTGTGGTGTTATGTATATAAGCCTTGCCGCTGCCCTTCGACGTGAGGCCGCAGCAGAGTCTCTGAGAGATGCATCGCTCAGCAAGCAGCGCAGACGAATGTTCGTTGCACTGGTGGAGGCCGCTGGCTGGTTACGCACAACGTGCAAGATCGTGCAAGCGGGTGACGATGAAGCTATTGTCAGTGTTGTGGAGGCTGAGCGAAAAAGGCAAGCCACCATGGCAACGGAATTGGAGCATGAGGCCCTGGAGTGCGACATGTTTAGATTTTGAGGTTCCTGACTCGAGCCGTCTCCGATTCCCTCAGGCCATGTGCACTTCGGATGCGGAGTCCAAGGCTTGGCAGCAGTACCTGCTGCATGCCGAGCACCAGTATTTGGAGATGCTGCGGCAGGCTTCGATTGCGCCAGATTCGTTGAAAAATCCTCTCGCATGTTCCAGCCCGTGCTGGCGACACCAAGCTTTGACTTTGATGGGAAGGCAGAAGCTGCAGAGACTCTCGCTGCTGCCCCACTATTGCGACCATTTGAGGCTGCCACAAATTGCGAGCTGTTTGCTCAGTCTTTGGAAGCCCAGGCGATGTCCAAAGCTGATCGCGAGAGTCGACGTGCTGAGCAGGCTTGGCCCAAAAGCTCTCCAAATCAGTCGTAAAGGGACAAATTCGGAAATCACGAAGTTTCATTCAGGAATGAGTTGTGCAGATTGTCTGCCTCAGGCACGGATTGATCAGGAACGTCGCAGCGCCCTCAAGTGCCTATGAAGTCAGAGTGTTTCTCAATTTGGCTGCCTGTGCTGCACCGAGGGCGACGACGAAGAGAACGCGAGTCACAAGCAGCCGAGGGGCGTGCGATGAAGAAGGCAGACGACGAGAGCCGTCGGGTCCGGAGCTCAGAGGCATCGCCAGGCCTAGAGGGCCGGGCCTAGAGGGCCTAGGCTGCCCAGTCGCAACGGTCGGCCTTTGCAGGTCGAAGCAGCTACGTTTCTCGCGGAGGAAGAGGCTCGTGAAGAGTTCGAGTCAGCGCCTGAGAACATCGGAGACCGCTGGCGCCGGAGCGGTAGAGTGGAGAAACGAGCAGTGCATATGCCAGGGCGGAGCTCATGGAACGGGCGGAGGCGGACTCGTGGAGCTCATTTGAGCTCACACACTACTTGAGAGTGCCGACTTGTAAGTATTATATGTTATTATGTGCAGGATGAGGTTCGGGAGTTCCTCCAAGAGGAGGCATGCAGACAAGCAGACGAGCCGGAGCCTTGTGGTTGAGGTCTCGGCTTTGTCGGTATCTCCTTTGGTTAAGCTATGTTAGGCTTTGAGACTTGCAAGCTTGGGTTGGATAGCCGGTCCTCCGTCAGTATACCAAAGGGCAGGCTTCCTCAAGAACTGTCGTCGCAGTGATTGAGTGATTAGTGCAATCATGCGTCCACCAGCGCCACATGCATGCAGTTCCCTAGGCGGCGCAGAATGGCTGCTGATGAGGCGGAGTTCTTCCGGAGACAGGAGGAGGAGGGGCGTTGACATGTAGCATCACTTGGGTGGCAGATGCTATTCTCTTTGAAGAATCTGTTAGGAGCGGCGGCGACAAGCTGAAGAAGAGAGAAAGCAGAAGCTTGTTCTGGAGTGGAGGAGGACGGTGGTTTCCGCTCTGTGCTGCGTGGCAGCTGGGACACAACTACGTGTGCTCTCAGGAAGAAGGCAGCAAGGAGGGCCTCAGCCTCAACAGTCGTGCATGAAAGGCATAACAGGTTCGCGACGCGGCCGTCGAAGGATGTGTCCTATGCTGTGTGCGTGTGGAGGCTCTGGAGTCGGATGACGAAGATGAGGCCTTTCGTAAATTTCTCGTGCATCTCTCGCAGATCTCTCGCGACTCTTCAGGCACAGGAGCCGGAGGAAGAGGAGGCCAGTGCAGCTGCAGCTTAATACCGGGAAGGGTCCCTTGCCGCCAGGATCAAGAGGCGAAGGAGGACACCCCCAATACGACACCAACGCTTACAAGCTTCGGGTAGCCGCACCGCGAGGAGACTTCGGGGAGCCCTACCCGGCCTCAGAAGGTCCGGACAGCGCACTATTTCTCGTGTGGTCGCCGTAGGACTCCGTGCTAGAATGAACTGCAAAAGGGGTTTCAGCCTAGTGAGGCTTAGTGGATCAGGACGGACCACCATGTCGAGGTAGGAGGCGGATCTCCAGGACATTCTAGGCATGACTTGATCCACTTTCATACCGCAGCTTCGCAGTCGCGCAGGGTCTGATTATCTCCTTGTCCTCTGGAAGGCCATCGTGCGGAATCCATTCGGACCCGTCAATGTCTTCCTCCCACAGTTCCGGGCTTGATCTCCGAACTCAGTGATGCGTGTTCGGGCTTGAGTGTATTAGGCAAGCGCCGGCCCACGAAGAAAAAGCGAAGAAAGCAAGGGAGGAGGCGTAGCTCTGATTGAATGCGGCACCTCGTTTGTGTGTGAGGCTTAAAGGACCACCAGTACGCGGCAGACCACTCGACATCGTAAGAAGCTAGTAACACCTTGGCGCTAACGCAGCTGGTAGTGAGCAGTGACGGCAAAAGACACAGCTGGGAGTGTCATCAGCAGCATCATTCATGGTCACAGTCGTTGTGGCAACACGGATTGTGATGAAGATGACGATGGTGCTGCTGCTGATGCTGCTGATAGTGGCGATGATTTTGATGTTACTGGGGATAATATGGTGTTGGAGTTTGTTCATGTTGAAGGAAGCCAAGCGTGCTCGCGAAGAAGAGCGACGCAGGTGGCCTCCATTTCCGCTTCCGACTTGGACTTCTCAGTACACTTGTCGCTCACCGATCAGGCTGAAGGATGACGCCGCCAAGAAGCGAAAGCGTGAAACGGAGGCAAAATCCGCAACATCACTCTGCTACTCTGCCTCACGAGCGATCAGCACACACCCATCTGCTCCGCCAGGAAGCAGCAGCAGAGCTGCAACGGTTTGAACAGGCGAATCGGACTGTAGCCTTCTGCCGCAGGGCTTTCCTGAGCACCTGTTTCTCCAGTTCAGCAATAAGACGAGCATGGCAACAACAGCGTCTGAAGGAGTTGCAGCGACGAAGCAACTTCCTCCTACGACGACGGCAGCAGGCGCTTTGGTTTAGCGGGAACCCGGTGCAGATTGCGTGAAAGCGGCATCGTGGATCTCAGGAAGAGGAGGACCTGCGAAAAGAGGAGGAGGCAGAGCTGCCGATCCTTCTGCACGTGCGCTTTGAGTTGCCATTGAGTGTTGAAGGCTCAGCAGCGAGCTGAGAGAGATGAGCAGGAACGCACTGCGGCTGAATTATGCTTTGGCACATGCTCGGCTCTGTCAGTGGAATCGTGAAATTCTGTTTCTTCTACTTTGCTTTCCAAGGCAAGCAGCGCGAGTTCGAAGCATCCTGTCATGGCCTTAGGAAGAAGGCCACTGAATTCTGGCTGGTCTTTGCAGCGTGCGAGGCATGGCTCGAGAGGAGAAGCTCCGCATGCCTTTTGAGCTCGAGGACCCCGATCAGAACCCTAGAAAATTCATCGAGATCAAGTGCATTGAAACCTTCGGTGGAAAAATCGAGTTATCAGGCTGCAGCTAAACACATAAGCGGTAACTCAGTCGGGCGAATGGCTCAGAACAGGCACAGAGCTTTAGATCGAAAAAGTTCTCCAGCCAAATTTTCAGCTCTGCATGCGCTACTCGGCGCAGAGTTGCTCAACGATGTTGACTGAAGATGCCTGCTGCATGCGCTAGGACACAAATAGTGCAATGTGTTGATCTGTAACTGGCTGGGTCGGTACATGTCTTTAGGCAGAACCAGCCGGCCGAAGTTCCAACAACGGCAACAACAGTTGCGAGGTTATGCCGGGATACTGAATCGTGTCATTTCTTTGAGTCTCTGGTGTCCACACTCGAAGTGCGAGTTTGAACAGCGAGCAAGTCGTTGTCAGAGCTTCGTCTGCTTTGGCCCTGCTCGTCGAGGCCGAGGCTTGCAAGCAAGGCTCCAGCAAAATTATGCGAAATATGTGGTTCGGATTGAGCTGTAGTTCGACATTCCTTCTGCATTGTACAGTCGGGATGTAAGTGACATGCCGTGGCATGAGCGATACCTGCCCACTTGCATCTCCCAAGCCAGCATTGCCCGATCCAAAACCCGCTAGCTCCCCCGATTGAAGTAGTCCCTCGTAGAATGCTCAGGAAGGTGGTCAAGCGGCGTTATATCTGAGTAATGTCCCAACCAATCAGTCAGGATCGGCGTCGAGAGTCTGAGCGGCGAAAGCGGGATGAAGCAGAACGCAGAAAGCAGGTCTTTGCGAGCTGATGTGGGGCTTTGCCAAGAGCTGCGACGATTGTGGCCAGGAACGTGCTGAGAAGAAGAGAAAGGAGCAGGTGCCAAGTCTTCAAACCAGCCGAGTATGCAGCCGTCCCGTTTAGCTGCTAGGAGGAGAAGCTTCGCGACGAGCGCAGAGCGGAAGCTCGGACTTTCCATCCTCAGCAGGCTGCCAGGCGCACCATTGGGGGATCCTTCGGGGTCCTAGACGCAGTTTCGAGTCGCGTCCAGCCAGTCTTCGGAGCAGCGAGCCTGTGAAGACCGAAAGAGTTGCACATCTCAAACTCCAGCAAGTCTTGGCGGCAAGATGGCAACACTGTCCGTGTCTCCGCACAGACAGCGAGATCGGGCAAGAGCGACAAAGAGCGAGAGACTCCATTTGCTTCTTGCACAAGGGGAGGAAGGGCGCTCCATTCGGTCAACTTTAAACTTTCTTATGCTGCAGTCATTGCGAAATGCCGAAGTAAAGATCCAGGACATGCTTCCAGGTTGTGTGCAGCCGTATGAGTATCTCATTTCAGGGTCGCCATGCATTTCGTCCGGCTAGCGCCGTTCACCATGCACGGCTTCTCGCAGATGACTGGGTGGGCTGCAAATCAACTTAGTTCGTCGTAGCCAGCGTTCGTAAGGCAGTTTATTGAAGTCGTGCTTGCTTGATTGGTGGCACATTCAGAATGTAGTTCTGTTTTCTGCATGTCACGGTTCGCAGCCTTAGCGCCTTAGTTTCACTTTTGAGCTCAAGGGCGCGGTTTGATCTTTGTTTCGTGAGCTGGGGACATCCCCGGTTGGTGCTTTCCGAATTCGAGTCAGAGGATTTCCTGAGAATATTTGGCATGCCCAACCCCAACACCAGCCCGGAGCACGGAGAACCCACGGCTACGACTAAGGTTTAGGGCGCATAGGGCACGGCATGGGAAGGCTTCGGGCCAGGGACAATCACTGCGTGCCAGGCTGCTGCAAGCCAAGGAGCAGGACTTTGCAGTTTACAGACCCTGCGCCCGACACAACACTGCATGGACATGGCAGTACCTGCGAAATGCGAGTAGTGCAAGGAAATCGCGCGAATGCAAGCTGAACTTCTGAAGCGAAGGTCCCGAACTTCAGTGCCGGGTGGTGTGAGGCGGTTGTCAACGCCACAGCAGTTGCAGGCAAGAGGAGGCTCAGAAGAAGTGTCAGCAGAAGCAAGAAGAAGAGAAGCGTGGGCGAGGCCGAACTCCGCACCTTCTGACAGCCGAAAATCAGCCGGAACGATGCAGGTGAGAGCTCTTCCTCACCGTCAGCTCAGCAAAGCAGGTGCAGAAGGGGATGGCATTCAGGACTTGTGGTAGGGGTACTACCCGGTGACTACCCGGCCCACATCAGGTCTAGAAGCAGCAGTTCGAGCGTTGCAGCCTCGGAGGAGGGTCAAACCGAATTTGACGCAGGAGTGCTTGTGCGAGATAGCGGACTAGTAGCTAGTACATTGCGATAGACGACTTGGCTGCGAAGAGTTAAGTGTGCTGAAAGGGGTTGAGGGGCGGTTGCCAGAGGCTCGGAAGGAGCGAAAAAATCGCCGTGGGCTCCGTCGGCATCGAGGTGCTAATGCTGTGAGCAACTTATTGCGAGAAGTGACGAGCACATGTACACACTGGACATCATTGAACCAAAAGGTGTAATGTATCGTCGCAGGCAGTCGAAGCCGATCTGTGCCGCCAAAGCGCGACAAGCCGAACACCTACGGCGCTACATGTTCACTACATGATTCTACAGCAGCCTCGGGTGCAGCCATTCTAGATGCAGCTTGTCTCGCGATTGCAGCTGGGCCAAGGGCAAGGAGAACACGTCGAAAGCGAAGCCGAAGTTCGAGTCACAGCCGAAGGCGGAGAAAAAGCTGCGACTCAGAAGACCGCTGCATACTGCTGCCGAGCTGTTTAACATATGCGCATTGATCTAAAAGTCCGTGTCGCAGTATTTATACAGAAAGACCACAGGCCTATCATTATGTTTTTGCGAAAGTTACTGCGTTAGCCTTCTTGCCAACTATCTGTACTACTACTACTACTACTACTCCTACTCCTACTCCTACTCCTACTCCTACTCCTACTCCTACTCCTACTCCTACTCCTACTCCTACTCCTACTGCTACTGCTACTGCCACTGCCACTACTACTACTACTA